ACATATTTTCACAAGACACGAAAAAAAAATATTCGTTTTTTTTGGGCCACCCTAATATACAGGGTGATTCAGTCATAATGTCATTAATTTTAACCACATATTTGGAAGGCTTGATAAATTGACATTTTACGCGACTTTCCTCCTCGGCAGTAACATTTCCAGTATTGAGCAAAACCAATGAATGAAGGTCATTGGAAAAATTTGCCGAGTTGGACAATCTAAGCGGAACAACAACCCGTGAGGAAGAAAATAATTGTTAAAAGGCAAGGGTGTGCGTAAGGATCAGTACTTACCATTTTTCCATCACTTCTCTACATTGTTCTCAAAATAGTCGGCAATTTGATGGTAACCTTCATGTAGAGCTAGTTGCAATGCCGTATTGTCGTCTTTGTCCCTAATCCTGGAATCAGCACCCATTTCATGAAGGAACTTGACTATATCCAGTACTACAGTAACACATCGTAAATATTGTAAGCTTGTTAAAAGACCTCTTTCTGATCCCTCCGTTTAATTTTCTGTTTCGAATTTTCACGTCTACAAATTACATAAATAATTTCTTGGTAGATAAATATTTGAAAGTACATGTTAGGTAATGCTGTTTTTGACAATGATAATTTTATAAAATGCCTTTTTTACTTACTTCTTCAAACCATTACTCCTGAAGGGCAGTAGGTATCTTTGGAGGTAAAAAAACAGAAATCGTCCCGTCGCCGTCGATTGTCGAGGCGAGCTCGGGAAATCACAACAAAACTGTCAGCAACGCCACTGCAGCGAACCTCTTACCTCGCACTCCTCGGTCGGACCGTGAACGTAATTGACCATTCCGATACTGTTTTTAAGAATATCTTATTTATAACTGTATTATTTTAACAATTTTTTTCAAATTGTTGTTTACAGCTATTTACTACCGGTCAGTTATTTTAATTTTTTTAAGAACGCAGTATTTACGGAGATAGCACTCCCTTCTGTTTTGTTTAAAAATAAAAAAAGAAGAGCTTTTGAGACAAATGACCTTCACAGTACTAACGACAATAGTTCGACTTGTCGTCAGTAAAAATTTGGAATTTTTTTTATCAATTAACAAAAAAATTATGACGAGTTAAAGTGAGAGGTATCAATTTTGCAGGATGAATTTTTCAGCATTTTCATTAATAGCTAAAAAATGGGATAACGAAACTAACTGAAATATTAGCACACAATAAAGTATAGTGAGGTTATACCGGTCTGGTCAGGTAATTCTTTCGCATAGACTAAGTAAATTACACGCATCTCCCCTATCAACTTCGGGTGGAAAGGGTCGTACATGACATATACTCGTATCATCGAGGCTACGACTCGGACTCTCGTAATTGGTTGACTGCGGGAGCGCACGTGCCCCGTTGCATTTTTTTGTGAACCGACCGAATACGTACCTTTGCTATGTGTTTAGTTTTATTTTTATTATTATTTCACTCAAACCTTTGGCAAGAAGTAGACGGAATATTACAAAAGAAAAACGGTGTCGAACAAAAAATTAATATTATTAAATGGTATTGTCGTGCAGAAAGTGCAGAGGAAGTCGCTGGCCGATTTATATTTTCATACCCCGACGAGCCAGTCCTCACTGCTAGAACTGTTTTGAATATTTTTCATAAGTTTGAGGAGTGCGGATGTGTTAATCGGTGTACGAAATGTAGCGGTCAGGAACCTCGTCAAATTCCTGAAGCAAGGAGAGAAAAGGAGGTTTTAATGTCTGTGCTTTTGTGGAAGTAAGTGAGCCGTGTTCTTCCTCCCAAATTTCCGAAGAACTTGACATTCCAAGTCGTACAGTTCGTCGCATCTTAAAAAAGAATGGTTACAAAGCCTATAAAATACAAACTTGCCATTAAGAACGCAGTACCCTCAAAAGGTAAATGTTTGGGCTGGCATTTTAGGCGATAATATTGTGGGTCCCTTCTTTATTGATGGTAACTTAAATGCTGAGAGATATTTGCATTTATTACAAAATAGTGTTGTACCAGCTGTACAAAACTTGGATGTAAATTTTGAAAAAATTTGGTTTCAGCAAGACGGATGTCGTGGACACAACGCAAGGCCAGTTCAAGATTATTTGGAATAAACTTTTCCTGAAAGACTTACTTCCACGAGAGGTATTATATCTTGGCCTCCTCGATCTCCAGATCTGATACCCTGCGACTTCTATTTATGGGGTCATTTAATGCAACTTCTCAACAAACATCGACACGAAAGAGCCGCAAATTTGGACAAATTACGGCTTAAAATTAGAAATATTTTACGATCAGTTTCTCCTGAAATTCTGGGTTAGTGTATTGTGAAGGTCAAGCAGGTGGTTCGTTTGAACACCTTATTAGTTAATAATAAGTTTTTGTTTAATAAGTTACTCCTGAAATTTTATCAAATGTTCGTCAAGAACTTTATGACAGATGGTTTGTTTGAACACCTTATTGTAACGTACTTCCCTTGTTCGGTCGCCAAATTCTTTGTAACACCCTTTATATACTTTACTTTATTTTGGTTTTGATTTTGCGGTGGTGACGGTTCGGTTCAGACGTTACTTGTGGCTGCCCCCGGTATACTACCAACTCTAAACGGAATCTTAATTCACAATTGCGAATTCTAATTTACTAGATTTATTGACGTCACTTATGACGACCCTTGACTACTAGTTTATCGGCAGCGGTGGTTGGCAGCCGGCGGTGGTGAGTGACGTCACAGGAACGTACTCCGGATTAAATCTTTGTTCGGTTTTTGTCTCGGGCGCCAGTTTCCCAATCTTTTACGTGGGGGAAACTCCACGTGAAACCTACCCTCGGTTTAGAGTAAGTACTCGGGATAGCTGCAGTGAAGAAAGTTTAATTCCAGGGGTCTGTTATATTTCTCTTAATTTCAATCAAAGTAGTTCTCTGAGTGTAGTGTTATTTTCCTTTTAAAATAAACGGTCTTATCAGTGTAGGTCACAAAAAGATAAGCAGACCCGTTTTTTGCTGGTCGGAATTTTATCAACTTTGTCGGTGTTAAAAATGAACACAAACTGGAAATATGTTTACTAGATTTATTATAAGGCCTATTGAATTTGAAACAAACAAAACGAAAGTAAAATAGATTCTAATTACAATTAGTATCACTAACTAAAACCAGGTATATACAATTAATTTACAAGCGGTGGAGACGAAATAAAATGGGTTAGAGCAATTATTATTACGACGGTTTTAAAAAGCCGATACGGGTTTTTGGTGCTGTAAAGAAATACAAAATTAGCACATAGTCAAAAATCGGTACGGTACAAAAACGGAGTATTTGGCGTCTGGTTTATTTAATAAACGGTCTAATACTTTAAGAAACGGTACGCCAAAATAATATTCGGTTTTAAATTTCGGTCGGTGCTAGAAAGGAAACAAAATAAGATTAATAAATTAGAGTAATAAACAATCAATAAATAAATTGGCCCCAATGGTTCTGAAACAGAAAAATTATTACGGGTTGCTCTAATTCTACAAATAAATAGCGGCGGTAGTTTCTAGCAAAGCGACGGAAATTAAGCGAAAATGTGACCAGCCAGAAGAAAAAGCCAAGCAAAGCGGTTTACATCAGGCACAAATAAGCAAACGGTAATCAGGAAAATGATGTTGTCGGTAAACAGGAGGCAAAGTCTGGGCGAAGTGCGAGTTCAAATGCGGGGCGGCCGACAGACTTCTCCCGGAAGCGGTGGGTGACCCAGCCAAACTTCGAGGGTCTATCCGTCGTTGCACAGTCGACACACAACGTCTTCTACTGGCGGTGGGTAGCCCAGCCAAACCAGCAGTTTCGGTTATTGTGCCTTACAGCGTTTATCTAGCTTGGGCGGTGGGTGGCCCAGCCAAACCTTCGCCGACAACGCTGCTGCTGTACACTTCGACACCTTCACGTCTTCTACTGGCGGTGGGTGGCCAGCCAAACCAGCAGTGTCAGTAAAGGGGCTCACAACGTTTGTCGAACGAGGGCGGTGGGTGACCCAGCCAAACCGTCGCCGATAACGCTGCTGCCGTACGGACCTGCACTCAACGTCTTCCTCTGGCGGTGGGTGGCCCAGCCAAACCAGCAGTTCGGTCGATGTGACTAACAACGTTCGTCGAACGAGGGCGGTGGGTGACCCAGCCAAACCTTCGCCGACAACGCCGTGGTCGTACTGTCTTGCCAAAGTTCAAAACGACTTGTACCATAGCAGGACAAGTGAGAATAGGAAAATACAATTTGCTTACTTATTCCGGACGGTTGCTTCTGGCGGCTAACTCCTTGGGTCGGGTGGCAGTCTCTGGTCGGTCTTCAGATCTTCGGGGTGGTCCTTGGGTTGGAACTGGAGCTCTTCGAGTTCTGGCAGCGAACTGAGGATCTTCGTGCAGGAACGGTTGTTTTATTGCTTCAATCCCCCCTTGACTAGGCAGGAGTCGTAGTGGGATTATGCGCGCGGCCCTCGATAGAGTGGGGCTGCGGACGGTTCGGCTCGACTCGCGGTTAATTGCTCTCACCCAATTAAACTAATCAAATACATAACTGGCCAGCGGCCCTGCACAAAATGGAAAATAAATAATGGTTCATTACATTATTAATTAATAATAAGCCTTGGAAAATAATTCATTATTTTACTTAAGAATTACCACTCGTTTTATTTTAGAATACCGTTTTAGTTTTTACTAAAAGTTATAAATAATTTGTAATAAAATTGGAATGCTTTAGTATGGTCTCAAAACCTCTTATAATTCTTGTAAAAAAATATCGTACAAATAGGATAATTACTGTAAGTATGGCAACACTGCTGTCAATTCCAGATCGTGGCTTATACTCTTTATGCCATCGCAATAAATCAAAAACGTAATTATTGTCCAGTACTCTATATTCCGTATGCACGTATCTTAGACGTACGTTGTTCCCAAATTCCTAATGCAAGACAGACACAATAAACCAATAATCAAGGAGAGCTTAGAACCGCAGGCTTTGCTCACTCTTATGGCGTTTTTTTTGTTCCCTTATATCGATGGCACAAAGTTGTACAAATGATATGGGGGCGGAGTCAGGATTATTAGGGGAGACTGGTAAAATATTTATATACTTTACTAACTTTGTATCGGAAATAAAAATATGACCAAACCTGTACATCGTTCAAATTTCAAATTTTTTCGCCCCTTAATATCGGTTTCCAAAGTCAGGGGGTCTATTTCATTTATTTCGATAGTAAATACTTTCTTAGCGATATCTAAGAATCTTTGACCTGGCCAGATGCCTCAGAACTACTACAAAACGAGTCTTTTTTTCAATAACGAAAAAAATCTATATACAGCTTTTACTTATTAATTTTATTACATAAATTCCCTTATACATACTGTTTATCTACATCTAACTCTGCCATTAATATCCAGTCACGATTCCATTTTGATCAACCACTTATTGGAACAAATACAACGCAAAAACAATAACTCGTGTCACCTTCTAGTAAGCGCGCGCGTGCGCAGGTTGAGTATATTGGAACACTATGCAAACCGAACGGCACTTTAAATTTTTTAATTTTCATGACACTTCAGTTTAAGTTAATTGTACACAATATTAAACAAAACAGTATAAAAATTCAGAAATTTACCAATTTTTGCGTTATTTCTTTTTTCTTATTCCCATTCCTACTTTTAAAGTAGTTCTATTCCTATTCTTAAAGTAGTTAACAATTTGACGGTGACCTTTATAGCGAGCAAGCTGCAGTGGCGTGCGACCATCTTTATTTCTAATCCTCAAATCTGCACCCACTTTAAGAAGGAATTTTATGGCGCCCAGATGACCAAATACGGTAGCAAGATGCAGTGGCGTGCTGTCGTCATTATCTCTAACATTTATATCTGTACCCAGTCCGTGAAGAAATTCGACTGTGTCCAAGTGACCAGCCCAGGCAGCTAGATGCAGAGGCGTGCGTCCGTTGATGTCCCTGATATTGCCATCACCGACGAGATGCGCTAAAAATTTGACAACCATCAATTGACCCCTCGCAGCAGCCAAATGCAGTGGCATGCTGTCGTCGTTATCTCTAACATTTAAATCAGTGCCCAGTCCGTGAAGGAATTCGACAGTGTCCAAGTGACCAGCCCAGGCAGCTAGATGCAGAGGCGTGCGGCCGTTGATGTCCCTGATATTGATGTCACCGACGGGATTCGCTAGAAATTTGACGACAGTCAATTGACCCCTCGCAACAGCCAAATGCAGTGGCGTGCTGTCTTCATTATCTCTAACATTTAAATCAGTGCCCAGTCCGTGAAGAAATTCGACTGTGTCCAAGTGACCAGCCCAGGCAGCTAGATGCAGAGGCGTGCGGCCGTCGTTATCCCTGATATTGACTTCATCGACCACATTCACCAGAAATTTGACAACAGTCAATTGACCCTCTCCAGCTGCTAAATGCAGCGGCGTGCGGCCCTTGTCGTCCTTGATACAGACATCAAAGTTGTGTTTGACGAAAAACTCGACGGTGGCCAAATGTCCCTCTCTCGCAGCAAGATGCAGTGGCGTCCTGCCATCGTAATCTCGAATATTTAAATTTGCGCCCAGTTCATGAAGGATTTTGATTGCTTCTAAGCGTCCAAAAAAAGCAGTTAAATGCGACGCCGTGTTGCCTTCATAATCTCTAACACTGAGGTCCGCGCCCAGTCCAAACAGAAATTTAACCATGTCTAAGAAACCGTAAATGGCAGCTAGATGCAGGGGCGTACGGTGGTATATATTTTCAACATCGAAATCCGCACCCAGTTCAAGGAGGTACTTGACCGTGTCCAAGTGATGACCCGATACAGCAGAATGCAGTGCCGTGCCGCCATCGAAGTCTCTTACATTTAAGTCTGCGCCCAATCGATGAAGAAGTTTCACTGTGTCCAGGTGACCTCTGGCGGCGGCAAAATGCAGCGCCGTGCGCCGGTCCACGTTTTGGATATCGATATCGTGGTTGAATTTTACGAGATATTCGACAATATCCAAATGACCGTTACTCGCAGCGCAGTGCAGTGCCGTACATCTCATGAAACCTGCGCTGTTGATGTCTGCTCCTTGCTCGGTTAGAAACCTCACCATTTCGAAGTGACCGCCGTCAGCGGCATAGTACAGTAGCGTGCTCCCAAACCCGTCCCTGATGTTGATTCCAGCCTCCTGAGTAATAATCCTCGTAAATAATAGTACATTTTCCTTTTTCTCTCTTCGGTTAACTCGAATTTTTCGTATAAGGGCTTGGGAAACGCTTCTATTATTATCGAGATCGTGACTTGTCAAATCTTCGATGTTAATTTCTTTGCCTCTGACAATTTCGAAATTTACGCATTTGAGGATGAGTTGCAGAATTGCGATACAACCCTCTTCCGCTAATAAATGAATAAATCTATGGTCATCCATCCAACAGCATTGGTCACAAGTATGAGATTCATATTTCTCGAGAATATTTGCAGGTACAGAGTGCAAGACTCTATTTAGAAAATTATCAAGGAAGCCGCGGATAATTACATTTTCAGGGAGTTGTAAAACTTTACCTACGAAAAACTCTTGAAACTTTATATCTGGACTGTGTAACTGAACTTGCAATTCCTGGACTAGACTTTCCGCAACAAAATATTCAGCGAAAGTCCTGTGAATAAACTGAGGTTCGTCGTTTGTTCTCTGCACGATTCCTATCTTTAGTATGCTCTCGTTTATATCCTTACAACTTTGTTGATAACACGAGAAAAGCCGACGATCCTCTTTATGTAAAATCACTTCTAAAGCGAGTCTTCTGTGGTACTTGAGGGATTCATCGAATTGGTCAATTAACGCCATATTCGCCGCCGAGTTCCCGCTGGGATTTCCTTTGTATATGTAGATGTCTCTTTTTGTCTCAATAAACATGTCGTACAACTCTTTAATTTCCATTTTTTCGGGCAGTTTTGGTTTTTCCCTAGTTTCCTTTAAGAACTCCTTGCATCCTTCCCAATCGGATGACTTATTCTGTTTTATGCTTTCCTGGAAAATCTCCGCAAGCATTTTCAGTTGCAGAGGGATCGCAGTAAAGTCGTCTTCCACGTAATATCCCTTTGTCCACGAGGACACCCTACTTATCAGTGCCCTGGCGTATCGTTCGCACTTTCCTCTACTATCATCATTTATAGCTAGATTATAAACCCAATAACTGATAAGGAAGTCGACCTGGTTCTGTTCCGTGAAAGGTTGCAATACAAACGGCTTTACTCTCAAAACCTCTTCCAATTCTCGGACCATGTGAGGTCTTGTAGTAATGAAGAGTTTCGCGAAATTAATTGCTTGTCGGCACTGGGTCAGCATGCTAAGGACGAGTCCCGTATAGTCGGGGCTGATCTCGTCTATCCCGTCGAGCATAAGCACGACTTTCTTGCTCGAGGAGAACACAAACTTTTCCAAGTGGTTCGTCATTTTCGTCGCATTTTTAGAATTCAACAGCTCCATTACACTTATGGTTTCCCGTCGATTAGCTAGCACGTCTCTTAAGAAGCTAGAGTACCTAGTGAGTTCAATTTTAATCACCCACAAGTGAGGATTCTTCTCTTTTATAGCCGCTGCCATTTTGGTAAGTACAGTGCTCTTCCCAGTTCCTGCACCGTCCGAGATAAGTATCACCTCTTGGTTTACGTCATGAATGCTCATTTCTGGAAAAGTCTCTTCTATCACCTTATTAGTATTACATCCATATTCATTTAAATGTGGTTTTGCTTGTTGCAATTCGCAAGTGCCTTGTCCAACTTTACTCTTACATATTTGTATTTTAAAGGTGCGAGCTATGTAATATCGAGAGTTGCTTTCGTCTAAATCTGAAAGTGGTTCGCCCACTTTTATTTCTTTCTTTCTAATTAGCATTTCTAGAATTTCAGAATTTATAACCTTCCTCCAATCCTCTTCTGTTTGTGTTTCTAATAGTTCTTCCAAGCTGATCTGCTCTCCTTGAAAAATTATGTTGTTCTGTTCTACTAACCTGTCCTGGCATTCACCTGAAAGATTTTTTAACGTCACTGATTCACCAACTTGAAAAATATCGTTTAGTCCGAATTGCCGACATAGTTTATTGTTGTGTTCGGCAACCAAAATGACTTTCTTATAGCTGTATTTCTTTAGTATATCTTTTAATGTACTACTTATTTCCTTTATCGCGGTGTCTTGAGTAAATTTGACCCCAATTATAATTAAAAAGGTGTAGCGGGGAACTGCGAATGCATTTATGACGTGTTTTTGCACCTCGATGTCATCGTTAGGATTGACATACAATTTTTTGCCTTTATCTTTATGCAGTGCATCGAAAACCTTCAATGCCTGTAACAGATGTCTTCCCTCGGAATGGACTTGGAAAATTCTTTCTGGATCAGTAAAATTAAAACTATTTTGTCTAAACGACACGTTGTAGTTTTTCAATTCTTCGCAGTACTTGTCACTTTTTATTTCGCTAAACATGGCTTTCGCTCGTTCCTCTGTTAAATATTCACCCTTTGGTTGTTTGAACCAATTTTCTACTTTCTTATATAACTCTTGCGAAGAGACCTTGCGATATAAACCGGAATTGTTCAAGCGTAATAACTGTTCAATAACTTTGTCTAATTGGTCTCCACTAGGATAATTTAAAAAAAATTGAAAATGATTCAGAAAATCCATCATGTTTTCCTCTGTTACTGCTGCCTTGTCGATGCTTTTGTCACGTAAATTTTTATGGAAGTAAACCTCCGCACTAGCTTTTAACTCGGGCAAGATGTTTTTATTAAAAGTATAAAATGGACAAAAGTTCCCTTCGTAGTGCAGCATGCTGCTGGCGCTTAGACAATGGCGTTTTAAACAGTTCTCTAAGCCTTTTCCTTCGATATCCGTGTTGGTGCAAACAATAACAACCTTCTCTACAGAACTAGACTTAACCTCCAAGTACGAGAAGAAGTATTTGGGAAGGCTGAAATCGGCGTTCTTAGCGTTGCACGAAAATAATTGTTCTCTGGTGATCTTTTTGCTTTGTTTGAACTTGGCCTGTAGCAAAACGCATTTGTCGTCCAAATCGAGAACGAGGTCGTCGAACTTTCCAGCTTCCTTGTTCTCCGTGGACATTTTCCAGTTTTTCCGGCTACGGAGGGCATTTAGCAAAAACACAGCGAGCAGATTCAGTTGGAATTGAACCCCTTCGAGTCCGGCGTTTCCTTTGCTTTTTTTGTACGTGTCTTCCATCCTCTTGGCAGGTGAAAATCCTGCAAAAGAAATAATACGGTGTCACCAATAAAGTCCGCCATTTATTTTGGAGCAGTTTCCTCACTGCGCCATCTACATATGAAATTTGTTTATAAACTAACCAGTGGTATCGAAATTAGGAGTCTAGAGAGTTTCGACTGCTAAAAAAGTTATTTGAAGTTATAAATAAAAATTTACAGAATTGGATAGACATTTTTCAAATCAATCTTTCCTGCTTTCAGAATTTATTCCAAATAATTTGAGAGCTTTGCTTAAATTAGCAAAGATGCTTCCTTAAAATTATTTTTTTATTGCTAATATTAAATTTCTACGCTAAACCTGCATTTTCACTCAAATTTAAATATTTCACAAACAATAAGTCCTAAGTATGCATAACCTTTAATAAAGTTCACCTATTTTTTTATGGTGCTTTCAAAAATGCAGTAAAATACATAACTTTGATATGGTACGCTTTTCCTGGTCACCCTGTATATTTCAAAATATTATTAAAATGTATCCGTAATCAACCTACACATACCCGCCTAAGCAGGTTTTTATATTTTCCGTTTGATTCCTAGCGACCGAGACGTTACTGGTGGCCCACCCTGTAGTATACAGGGTGTTCTCAAAGTCCGCCAGGAAACTCCGGGAGGTGATTCTAGATATTGATAATAGCAGTATGTAATGAAATTTTATTTCGAATTGTCAATTGTGCAAGTCACGGCTTGTCAAAGTTAAAATTTTTTTTAATTATTTTTTTAAATAACTTATTTAATTCAAGTTCGATTAGTCTCTGATTTGGCACACCCACTAAGTAGATCAAGCTCTGTTGGGCCAGTCAGAGAAAACTTTCCTTATGCGCCGCTAGAAGTCAAAATTTGTTTTGTTCGTAACTTTTTCCCTTGCTAGACATCACAGAAATGTAAACATTGATGAAAAGAGAAACAATATCAGAAAAAATTATGTAGGTACTCTTCATCCAAGCCGATAAATGTAACCGTTTAGCAGGAAATCGCTATTAAAGTGATATTAAACATCAAATTTTTGATAGTTCTTTCTGTCTGGTTTTACAAGAGATGGCATTACAAATTATCACAATGCTCATAATAATCACAATCAATAAAAAACAGATATTAATTAACAAAGTATTTTATCATAACAAATGTTCGTACTGAGTTCCATTCAATACATTTTCTGATGCGTTTTAAAAATGACCGGCTGACACGATTAAAAACACCGATATTGTTTCACTTCTCGATAACTGATAGTGAATAAAATGAAGTTTAAAAAAATTCATATCCATTTCCGGATACCCTGTATCTCTGTATACCTATTTACATATTTGTTCATTTGTTCCCGCTACTCCCTCTCCTTCCCACCGTTTGCAAATAGACGATGAGTAATTGAAAGATAATTAATTTCATTAGAGATTACGTTTAAATTGTATTTATTTAAGCAGATAATAAGAGCGAGATAGATTGTAGTAATTACGATTCTTGATCTTACGTGCATTACAATGCATAAAGTACCGAATTATATTAATGCCTTAGTAGATATATAAACGTGGTTAAATACCTGAGACAGAAGCCTTTTTGCTGGTGTACTTTTCTTCGTCTTTTGAGAATACAATTCGATAATAACGACGACGAACCAAGGAGACAGAACTAATATGCAAATATTTTACGTTAGACTATGATAAATGGCTAATGTAAGTTTGCCATTAAAACGACAGATAAACAACGTCTACAAGTTTAATTCTACGTCTACAGTCTACACTGCAGTACATTATAACACAGAGTTGCCAGATTGATTTTTACAATTCCCCCAACCACAGGAGTAAATTCCCCCAGAAACTGACATTTTTCAAATAAAATCCCCCAAAGTTTTCGAAATATATTTTTATTTATTAAAATTAATATAAATATCATACCTACGTAGAAATATATGTAATGTATTGCATTACGTACTTAAATTGCAGTTTCTGAAAATATTTCTAAAACATTTACATCATTATTTTTTCTTTCATACATTTTCTCCGAACTAAAATACTGGAGCATTTTGGACATGAATGCTCCAACCAATCGCGTGCGTGCTAGAGTCAGACA